TTTTTTTTTTTGAGACAGAGTTTCGCTCTGTCGCCCAGGCTGGAGTGTAGTGGTGCAGTCTTGGCTCACTGCAACCTCCCCCTCCTGGGTTCTTGCAATTCTCTCCCTCAGCCTTCCAAGTAGCTGAGACTACAGGTACACACTGCCATGCCCAGCTAATTTTTTGTATTTTAGTAAAGATGGGGTTTCACCATGTTGCCCAGGCTGGTCTCGAACTCCTGAGCTCAGGCAAACCACCCGCCTCGGCCTCCCAAAGTGTTGGGATTACAGGCATGAGCCACTGTAGGATTTCTCTCTTTTTAAAGGCTGAACAGTATTGCACTGTGTGTGTGTGTGTGTGTGTGTGTGTGTGTGTGTGTGTGTGTGTGTCCCGTATTTTCTTTTCCATTCATCCATTGATTGACACTTATGGAAAATATTTCACACTTTTCTTGACAATGATTTTTTGGATGTGATTCGAAAAGCAAAATAGATAAATGGGGTTGCGTCAAGTTAAAAAGCTTCTGTACAGCAAAGGAAACAATCAACAGAGTAAAGAGACAACCTACAGAATGGGCAAAAATATTTGTAGATCATACATCTGATAAGCGGGTAATATCCAAAATATATAAGGAACTCAAACAACTCAATAGCAAGAAAACAAATAGCCCAATTAAAAAATAGGCAAAGGATGCAAATAGACATTTCTCAAAAGAAGACATACAAAAGGCCAACAGGTATGTGAAAAAATGTTCAACGTCGTGAATTATTAGGGAAACGCAAACTAAAACCACAATGAGATATCACTTCACACCTATTAGAATGGCTTTTATCAAAAAGACAAAAGATAAGTATTGGCAAGGATGTGGAGAAAACAGAACACTTCAACACTGTGGGTATGAATGTAAATTAGTACAGCCAATATGGAAAACAGTATGGAGGTTCCTCAAAAAATTAAAAATAGAGCTACTCATATGATCCAGCAATTTCACTTCCAGGTATATATCCAAGGTATTTGAAACCAGTATGTCAAAGAGATATCTGCAGAAGTTTTGTGTGTGTGTGTGTGTGTGTGTGTGTGTGTGTACAAAATGCAATACTATTCAGCCTTAAAAGGGTGTGTTTTATGGGAGTGTGTTTATGGGAGAAGAATCATAGGGTAATAAAAGGAAACTGATGAGGAAGGCTAGAAACTTAGTAAGTCTCTTACTAAGTTTCCTCTTTCTTTTTTTTCCAACAGACACCACACACAAGCACACACTCTCTCTCTCTTTCTCTCTCTCTCTCTACTTCTTAACATATAGACTCTTTGAACTTCCCATTTTAAATGTATTTTACTCTAAAATTGTCTGTGCTTCTATCATTGATGTGAAAAATAAGGTTAGTTTTCTGTGTGTAAGTAGTTTTGTTAACATAATTTTCTTGTTATTTTCACTCTAATATAACAGGTATTATATGAACATGTACCAACTATCCATAAATATAAAAGAGTAGTTTGTTGTAGATAAGCTAACTCCAAAAACATTTACATGTGAGTAATCACATTCTACAAATCTGGTTTTGACAGCTTGAACGCATGTCTTACCAGTATTCCTTCTAATTGTCCATGTTTCTCTTTCGAAATGTTTGCTTTAGCATCCATCATCTGGAGAAAAACTAAAATACAACCAGCAAGAGGAAGTACAGCAACTTCGCCAGAATTTGCACCGGCTCCAGGTTCTATGCAACTCAGCTGAAAATGAGCTTCGATATGAACGAGGGAAGAACTTGGACTTAAAGCAACATAATAGCTTACTTCAGGAAGAAAACATCAAGGTAACTCTTGTGGGCACATCCTTTATGGAAGGGTTTCATTTGGCCCTGGGAAGAAACGAATCTAAATTCCTCTACTAGATAATTCATGATAGGATCTATAAATGTGGACAATATGAGCTGTCTAATAACTTCCTCCTTTAACTTTTCCCTGCTAAGTAAAGATGTGTATGTTATCAACCTGTAAATAGAAAAGGGCATTAAATTACATAATCTTCTGACAACATCATCTAAAATTTTCAGTACTTACTAAACTTCAGTGACCTGAGCCTAAACCTGAGCTGTCCTGCCCTGTGTATCATTAGACTTATTTATCCCTATTAGATGTATCCATTATTATTGGTTCAGGCAAATCTCAACTGCATCAAGGTACAATTCATGGAAGAGCAAAGTTGTTCTTCCTAATACAACAGCATGAAATAGTTAAGGCAACATCTCCCAAATGTTTGTTTTAAAATAATATATGTAGAACTGCCATACACAGATTCATCTAAAGTTTATGAACCACATAAATGTTTAAAATTAACCTCCATGTTAAATAGTACTTACTTTTAATTATGGCTTAGTTCTGTAAATACATATTAAGGTCTTAGTTTCTGTAAGCCTCTATTGAAGGTTCTGAAATTCAATAATCAATAAATATTCATGTGCAATTTTATAGACACTGAAAGTTTAATGTAGGCACAATAGACATAATCCTTATCCCCATGCTGCAGGGGTAAGCAAACTTTGACCTGTAGGTCAAATTCGGTCTGCCTTCTGTTTTATAAATAAAATTTTATTGGCAGCCAGATCTGTCTGTTTACATATTATGGCTGCTTTTTTGCTACAGTAGGAGATTTGATAGTTGTGATTAAACCATATGACCCACAAAGTCTAAAATATTTATTACCTGGCCCTTTATGAGAAAAGTTTGCCCACTCCTGGCCTAGCGGGTTAAAATGATCTTATTTGAAAAGTGACATAAACATGGATAAGAAAAGTCCCTAGTTTTCAAGAGCTCACAGTCTAGCAGGAGAGATATAGAGGAAAACAAATACTCATTTATCCCAAACTTCAAGGAAGCCCTTCTCGGGAGTTCTAGTATTTCAGGATTATTCAAATAAAACTCTTCCCTATCCTCACCCTTCATGAGTTTTTGAAGACTGATCATATTCCGTCAAGTCTTTGTAGTTTTAAATTAAATTCTAAATCTTTATCACATGTTCTCATAAGGCAGCCTTTCACTTTCTCTTCAAGGACATTTCTTAGATCATTTTAACTTGCTGACTCTGAACATATTCTAACAATACTACATATTTCTTAAGGAACAATGGCCAGAACTATACAGGTTAATGCCTTACATATGATTGGTAACCTATAAATATTTATTGGATTAATGAACAGTCTTTCAGGGTTGGATAAATGATAGCTTGGTAACAAGAGAAGATTTTTATTTTTCACAGTTTGTAAAGAGCATGCAATATTTTTTTTTAAAGAGAAGCTTTTTTTGTCTATTTTAAATCTCCATGGTGAGATAAATTATTGGCCATTTAGGAATGAGACATCAGCCTCTTGGTTAGCTCCTTAGGCCAGGCACCTAAGAAAGTTATATACAATAAGTATCCTTTACTGAGAGTTTGTCCACTTTATCTCTTTTTGTTTGTTTGTTTCTGAGACAGAGTCTCACTATGATGCCCAAGCTGGAGTGCAGTGGTGTGATCTCTGCTCACTACAACCTCTGCCTCCCAAGTTCAAGAGATTCTCCTGACTCAGCCTCCTGAGTCACTGGGATTACAGGTGCACACCACCACAGCCAGCTAATTTTTGTATTTTTATATTTTTAGTAGAGGCAGAATTTCACCATGTTGGCCAGGCTGGTCTTGAGCTCCTGACCTCAGGTGATCCTCCTGGGTTGTAATCCAAAATGCTGGGATTACAGGTGTAAGCCACCCGGCCCAGCCTGTCCACTTTATCTCTTATGAACATCCTCACAACCCTATAGGTCAGCACTTTTTGGATGACGAAACTGTTCAAGATTGCAAAGCTAGCAAATTGTAGAGTCAGAATTTAAACTTAAGTCTTTTTCTCTTTCCTGTGTAGACATCTTTCCATATTATACCTCTCCTGAATTTGGGTCATTTTGGAACCTCAGCTTTACAAACTTAGTGCTCACTTTTAAAAATCCACTCAAAGCTGGGCACAGCGGCTAGTGATCCTAGCACTTTGGGGGGCCAAGGTGAGCAGATCACTTGAGCTCAGGAGTTCAAGACCAGCCTGGCCAACATGGTGAAACCCCATTTCTACTAAAAATACAAAACAAAAAGTTATCAGGATGTGGCGGCACACACCTGTAGTCCCAGCTACTCAGGAGGCTGAAGCACGAGAATCGCTTGAACCCGGGAGGCAGAGGTTGCAATGAGCTGTGATCGGGCCATTGCAGTATAGCTGGGGTGACAGAGTGAGACTCTGTCTCAAAAAAATAAATCCATTCAAATTATCGAACTTGAGTCTCTAATGTTAGGCATGCTTATGAGACTGATTAAGAAACCAAAATACATGCTCACTTCAGCAGTACATGTACTAAAACTGGAACAATGCAGAGAAGATTGGCATGGCCCCTGCCCAAGGATGACACACAAACTCATGAAGTGTTCCATATTTTTTAAACGAAAGAGCTTCTGCACAGCAGAAGAAACTATCATCAGAGTGAACAGGCAACCTACGGAATGGCAGATAATTTTTGTAATCTATCTATTTGACAAAGGGCTAATATCCAGAATCTACAAGAACTTAAATAAATTTACAAGAAAAAAGCAAACAACCCCATCAAAAAGCGGGCAAAGGATATGAACAGACACTTCTCAAAAGAAGAAATTTATGCAGCCAGCAAACATATGAAAAATAGCTCATCATCACTGGTCATTAGAGAAATGCAAATCAAAACCACAACGAGATACCATCTCACGCCAGTTAGAATGACAATCATTAAAAAATCAGGATATGGCTGGGCACAGTGGCTCACACCTATAATCCCAGCCCTTTGGGAGGCTGAGGTAGGCAGATCACCTGAGGTCGGGAGTTTGAGACCAGCCTGACCAATATGGAGAAACACTGTCTCTACTAAAAATACAAAAAATTAGCTGAGCATGGTGGTGCATGCATGTAATCCCAGCTACTCGGGAGGCTGAGGCAGGAGAATCGCTTGAACCTGGGAGGCAGAGGTTGCGGTTAGCCGAGATTGCACCATTGCACTCCAGCCTGGGCAACAAGAGTGAAACTCCAGCCTGGGCAAAAAGAATGAAACTGTGTCTCAAAAAAAAAAAAAAGTCAGGAAACAAACAGATGCTGGCAAGGATGTGGAGAAATAGGAACACTTTTACACTGTTGGTGGGAGTGTAAATTAGTTCAACCATTGTGCAAGACAGTGTGGCGATTCCTCAAGGATCCAGAACCAGAAACACCATTCGACCCAGCAATCCCATTACTGGATATATACCCAAAGGATTATAAATCATTTTACTATAAAGACACGTGTGCATGTATGTTTATTGCAGCGCTATTCACAATAGCAAAGATTTGGAACGAACTCAAATGCTTATTAATGATAGACTGGATAAAGAAAATATGGCACATATATACCATGGAATACTATACAGCCATAAAAAGGATGAGTTCCTGTCTTTTGCAGGGACATGGATGAAGCTGGAAACCATTATTCTCAGCAAACTAATACAAGAACAGAAAACCAAACACTGTGTGTTCTCACTTGTAAGTGGAAGTTAAACACATGGATACAAGCAGGGGAACATCACACACTGGGGCCTGTAGGGGGGTGGGGGACAAAGGGAGAAATACCTAATATAGATAAAGGGTTGATGGGTGCAGCAAACCAACATGGCACATATATGCCTATATAACAAACCTGCATGTTCTGCACATTTATCCCAGAACTTAAAGTATAATTTTAAAATAAGAAAAATAAATAAAAATATTGGCTGGGTGCAGTGGTTCAAGCCTACAATCTTAGTGCTTTGGGAGGCCAAGGCAGGAGGATTACTTGAGCCCAGGGGTTTGAAGCTGCAGTGAGCTATGATCACACCACTGCACTCCAGCCTGGGTAACGGAGTAAAACCCAGTCTCAAAAAAAAAAAAAAAAAAACTAAAATAAATAAAAAAAATATTACTTTTTCTTTTCTTTTCTTTTTTTGAGACGGAGTCTTGCTCTGTCACCAGGCTGGAGTGCAGTGGCACGATCTTGGCTCACTACAACCTCTGCCTCCCAGGTTCAAGTGATTCCCCTGCCTCAGCCTCCCAAATAACTGGGCCAAGTAACTGGGACTACAGGCACGTGCCACCATGCCCAGCTAGTTTTTTGTATTTTAGTAGAGACAGGGTTTCACCTTGTTGGCCAGGATGGTGTCGATCTCCCAACCTGGTGATCCCGCCCGCATCAGCCTCCCAAAGTGCTGGGATTACAGGCATGAGCCACTGTGCCCAACCTACTTTTTCTTTTTAAAAAAGAAAACAAAATGCTAATTTATTGCTTTTAAACCATTTCATTGTGAAATATAACACTTAGAAAGTGAATAAAACTACAGTTTACCTAGTTGTCATAAAGTAAATAGACATCTAAACACTACTCAGGACAAGAAATAGAACAATACCAGCACACTAGTGGCTCCTGCATACCTTGTTCCCGTCATAATCCCATCACCTTCCACCCCAGTAGTAACCACTAATTTTGGTAATAATTTTCTTGCTTTACTTTATAGTTTTATCAACTATTTATGAATCCTACACAATATAGTTTTCCCTATTTTTCATATTTCAAAAGTATAATCAGTATGTATACCTTGTGTCTGCCTTATGATAACTCTGTCTGCAAGATTCATCCATGTTGTAGTGTATAGCCATTGCTCATTCATTTTCTTTGCAGTGTAATATTCTACCATAAGAAAATACCATACTTTATTTATTTTTTGTATGGCTTATGGACATTTTATATGTTTCCAGCTTGGGAATGTTAAAAAGAATGTTGTAGGCTTGCAGAGCTTCAGGCAGGTTGCTGCTCTGCCACCACCTGTACCATGACGCTGTTCTAGATCCTCTGCTTGGTGCTCCACTGTCGCAACTTGAAACTGAAGAAGGCGCCTTGGGTGCACAGGTCATTGGCCGTAACAGTGTTTGCCCCAGCGTTGTCTTATTTAATCATTACCAGTATCACCAAAACCCTAAGTGCTGACTCTTTGATCACAGGCCCCAAAGCCTTTACCTTTCTTGGCCTGTGGAGTAAATAGGCAGCATATTATGAAAGGACTTGTACCCTTCCTATTTACAATGAGAAGTTTAGGCTTCTTAATCTTAAACAAATTCAGTGCACCAAATACTCCAAAACACTTGGTTTCTTCTTTTTCTTTGATTTGTTTCTTATCTATTCATTGTCTGTGTCTTACTGAGTTTTTTTATGGTAAGATTGTTCTTGAAAAATGAAACTTCTAGGCTTTCTAAAAGGTTAGAGCGCCTTTTGAGAAGAAATCAACAGCTAATAGATTTCTTCTTATCATTAAAGTTTCAAAAGCTGTACCAACCCTCAAAAATAAAATTAAAAAAAAAAAGAGAGAGAGAGAGAAGGTGAACTGGTTTAGAATGACAAGGTAGGAAAAGGGTTTTCACTGGGAAAATAGGAAATGTATTAAAACTTGATTGAGAATTTCTTTTTGGTAATATCAATGAGATAAGCTTATTACATTTTTTTCCTGTTGAACTACATTGATCCACCAATGATATTACGGCATTTTGCCCTAAGGTTTAATTTCTTTACTTCTACATACATTCTTTACTTCTTCATATATTCATTTCACTCTGTTTAACAAAGCATATGACCATTTTTATGTGTCCACTAACATTTTCGGAAATGGCATTTCTGGTCTTCAAAAATTAATGCAAAATGAGGAAAGGAAGTTTCATAAGCTAAGCTCTCTACACAATTGAGCAGCTTTTACTGAAAGAGTTTTGCCTTTGAACAGAGGGTATAATAGCACATTATTTCAGATATGTTCAGTTAATGAATATCAGATTCTTTCCTCTGTCGCAATGTAGAGGAATAGAACTGAGCAATGTTTCTACTTTTCAAAGACTGCTGCAATGAACATTCATGCATGTGTATCCTGATGTCCATAAGTACACATTCCTTTAGGAAGAAATTGAGAGTGGAATTATTTTATCACAGCATATGTATTATTTCAGCTCTTTCTAAAGTCTTCTACCAGCAGTGTCTGAAGGTTCCCATTGCCCTACATCCCCACCAACTCTTGGAACTGTCAAACTTTAAAATGTTTGCAAGCCTAGTATACATGTACAGCAGTAGTTCCTTGTGGTTTTAGTGTGCATTTGCCTGTTTGTAAACAAGGTTGAGCAGCTTTCTATACATTTATTTGGCATTTGAGTTTCTATTTTGTGAAGTGCTTGTTCAAGATTTTGTTCATGTTTAATTTGGGTTTCTGTAATTTTAATTTTTCATTAATTTATAGAGTTTTTTTTAAATACATGAATCCTTTATCGGGTATGTAGTACAAACATTGATTCTGTGGCTTGCATTTTCATTCTCCTTAAATTTCTTTTGATGAATCAATTCTCCTTGCTTCAGTCTCCCAAGTAGCTGGGATAGCTGGCGCCCGCCACCAAGCCCAGCTAAATTTTTTTGTATTTTTAGTAGAGATGGTGTTTCACTCTGTTGGCCAGGCTGGTCTCAAACTCTTTTTTTTTTTTTTTTTTTTTTTTTGAAGAGGAGTTTTTCTTTTTTTACCCCCCCGGGTGTAGTGCAATGGCGCGATCTCGGCTCACCGCAACCTCCGCCTCCCGGGTTCAGGCAATTCTCCTGCCTCAGCCTCCTGAGTAGCTGGGATTACAGGCACGCACCACCATGCCCAGCTAATATTTTGTATTTTTAGTAGAGATGGGGTTTCACCATGTTGACCAGGATGGTCTCGATCTCTTGACCTCGTGATCCACCCGCCTCGACCTCCCAAAGTGCTGAGATTACAGGCACATACCACCATACTCGGCTAATTTTTTAATACTTTTAGTAGAGACAGGGTTTTTCCATGTTGGTCAGGCTAGTCTCGAACTCCTGACCTCAGGTGATCCACCCCCCTGCCTCAGCTTCCCAAAGTGTGGGATTGAGCCACCACGCCTAGCCTATTGTGGTACATTTCTGAGCTCCCTATTCTGCTCCATTGTTCTATTCGTCTGCCCTTGTGCCAATACCATGCTGTCAAGATAATTTTAGGTTTATATAAATATTGACATTTGATAGATCAAACCTTTTTACCTTGTTCTGGCCTATCTGGGCTATTCCAGGCCTTTGGGGTTCCTGTATAAGTTTTATAATCAGTTTGTTAAGCCACAACACATACTCGCATGAACTCACATAGAACACACGTATATTCACATACAACCTTTTGAGAGTTCAGTTGGAATTACATTGAACTGTAGGTCAATTTGGGCAGAATTTAAATTTTGCAATATTGAATCCTCTAAGAAGAGAGTGCGTGTATTTAGGTTTTTAATTTCTCTCAATATTTATATTTTCTTATATATCTTTTGTTAGACAAATTCAAAGGTGCTATTTTCCATACTATTATAAATGGTAACTTTTAAAAAATAATTTTCTAATTATTTCCCAATGTATAAAAATTTACTTAATGCTTTGCTAATGAAAACTTTTCCATAATTTTTTATTCCTATAATTTATGTATATGTTATTTTGAATTTTCTATGCAAGCAATCATATCATCTAAAGATAATTTTCTTTCCCCCTTTCCATGTGTTAAACCTTTCATTCTTTTTTCTTGTTCTGTGCACTGGCTAGCACAGTGCTGAATAAAACAGGTGACAGTAGGCATCCTTTTCTAATTCCCAATCTCAAAGGAAAAGCTCTCAAATTTCACCATTTAATATGTTTTTACAGCCTTTTAAAAATAGATATTTTATCCAAATGTACTTTAGAAAGAAAAAATAAATAAAAATAGATATTCTTTATTACATTAAGGAAATTGCTTTCTAGCATTAGTTTGCCCAATGTTTTATGACAAATACATGTTGAATTTCGTAAATTTTTTCTGAATAATTTGAGAAGATTTTTAAAAAATTTAATCTGTTAATATGCTGAATTACTTTGGTGGATTTTCTGATGTTAATTCAATTTTGCATTCCTGGGATAAACCTCACTTCATCATAAATTATCATTCTTTTCCTACAATGCTGGATTTGACTTGCTAATATGTATGTCTTCAGGATTTTTGTAACTTTCCCCATGAATGAGACTGGCCTGTCATTTACTTCCTTGCAATACTCTTGTCAGATTTTGATATCAAGGTTATTCTAACTGCTTAAAATAAAGTGGGTAATAGACCCTCTTTTGCTGTCTTCTGGAAGAGTTTGTATTAAGTTACAATTATTTCCTCTAAATTATTGCAAAAAAACTCATCCCTAAAGCCTTCTGATTTCACCTTCTTTTGGGTAGGTTTTCAATTTCTAGTACCATTTCTTTAAAAGTTATGAGAAGTCAAATACTTTTTATTTCTTTTTTGCATCAATTTTGCTATATTTTATTTTTCTAAAAAAGTTTCCATTTCATTTAAATGTTTTAAAGTTTTACAGAAACTTACTCATTTTGTCTTCTTTTTAAATATATATACATTTTATCAAAGGTAGCTTTTGAAAAAAAGGAGAAAAAATATATAGTGATGGTCATTTCACTTTTATAATATTAGTTTCATTTGCCTTGTTGCTTTTTTCTTGATAAGTCTCACTAGAAGTTTATTCATTTTTGGCTTTTCAAAGAACCACATTTTAGCTTGTTGATCTACTCTATTGTATTCTTTTTAGAGAAATAATAAATATACATATTTCACAGTTTAGAGTAAATATAGAGAACTGGATTAGAATCAGAAAACTATATTCAGACCTTGATTCTATCATCTGGCAACTATTTGAGATTCAGTTTTTTACCTCTAAAATGGGCTAAAATACCAGTCCCAGCCTCTTCATAGATGTGAAAGCCTAACAAATGTAATGTAGTAATATTAGTATATGCCTCAGCTCTGTATCTCAAATGCAGTAGATATTCTGAAAGCAATTCTCGAATAGCCACATTTAACTTTTGTTAGGTGTTTCCTATGTGTCTGGCTCTATTCTCGATGTTTTAATTGCTTTGTCTCATTTAATGCAGCCTCACTACTATCTTACGAGGTAAGCAGTTATTATCCCTATATTACAGATGAAGAACTGACACTCAAAGAGGTTGAACACAATTAACTTTTAGATTCACTTTATATAATCTGACTGATTAATATAGAGAAAGCACAGATGAAGGACATTATAGTTATTATCCCTATTAATACAGTTGAAAAGCTTTGAGAACAGGGAATTCTATTTACCAATAAAAAAAAGTAAATTCTCTCTCACCATTTTTGTCTATAAGCCTTCCCTGCCCAGTATATACATTCACCATGTTTTGATATTTCTCAGAATATCATTTACTTGCTCAGTAAATAATTGATTAATCACCTACTGTCTGGTAGGTGAGTAGGTGCTTTGATAGGCATTGGTATTAAGAAATGAATTAAAAACCTAGTCTCTGCTTTCTTTGAATTTAAAGTGGGAAAAGGGGATATAAACAGGTAAATTATAAATCATGATATGTTTGATGAAGGCAATAAATGTGGTACAGTGATATCATGAGTAAGGACATTTCAGATTAGATGATTCTGAAAATCGTCCCCTGCAAAGTGACATTTAAGCTAAGACCTGAAGACTAGGCAGGCAACCACGCAATGAGAAGGGAAAAGGGAAAGCATTTCTGGCAGAGGGATGTGTGGAAAAAGTTTGGTGTATCAGAAACTCTAAATACAAACCAGTGTGACAGGAGTTCAGTGGGAGAAGGAGAAATAAGATGGTTTTAAAGAGCTAGACAAGGGCAAGAGCTTACAAAGCTAGGTGAGCTAGTGGGATTTGGAGTAAAGGACCACTGAAACATTCTAAGCAGGGGTGTCAAGTAGTCTAATTTATGTTTTTAAAAGAGAAAATTTGGCCATAGCATTAAAGGATAGTTTAGAAGGGAGTAAAAATGGAAGTGGTAGGACAAGTGCAGAGGTAATTGCCATATCCCAGTTTAGAGATGATGCTCTAGACTAAGGTGGTGGCAAAGGGGACACAAATGGATTAGTGTAGGATATATTTGGGAATAGAGTGACAACATGTGCCAAATGTTTGGCATTGGTTCACGGTGGAAAAGGAAGACTCAGGGATTACTGACCTGTACAAAAGTTTGGATGATGGCATTATTTACTGAAATTGGGAAGACAGAGGGAAAAGACGACTTTGGAGACATGGGCCAAATCAAGGAGTTTCATTTTGATAATTATTGGCATAAAATGGCATTTCATATTATAGAAATGGATAGCAAATCATCCACTTTCCAGGCCTAGAGGAGTTCAGTAATACTTACATGTTGGGTGGCACTGGAAGAGTCTACAAAGGAGACCAAGAAAGAGCAGCAGAGAAGTAAGTGAAAACCAGCAAAGTTTGGTATCACAGAATGCTACTGAGAGGTAACTTGTCCATTTGGATTTATTTGGCAATGAAGAGGTCAGTTAGTGTCCTTGGTGGAAAGTTTCATTGGAGTAGTGGGGATGAAAGCCAGTTTGGAGCAGATTGAAGAAAGGATGGAAAATGTTTAGACCGTGCATATATAGAAATCAGGAAAATTCCTTTGTCTGGCTGCCCTCTGACTAAACTTTGGAAACTCTTACTAACATATGGCAGCTCCAGAGAGGTACTCAGCCATATGACGTTGGTGTTTGTTGGCTTTTAGGGGACTATTCTCCTGTGAAAGCTGCTTATTGTAGTTCACAGTCATTCCACACTTATTTGTATTATTCTTATTTATTCTCTACCTCTAGATAAAGATTGAACTAAAGCATGCCCAACAGAAGTTATTAGACAGTACAAAGATGTGCTCTTCACTCACAGCAGAGTGCAAGCATTGTCAGCAGAAAATCAAGGAACTGGAGTTGGAAGTACTTAAGCAGACTCAGAGCATTAAATCACAGAACAACCTACAGGAAAAGCTGGCTCAGGAGAAATCTAAAGTTGCTGATGCAGAGGAAAAGGTAATTATCCTCATGCTTAATAAATAGCATACACTGAATGCCACTACTGAAATCTTATTTCCCTGAGGATTTTAAGAAATAAATATGATGCAGACTTGATAGAATTTTAATTTTTTTTTTTAACTCTCCCATGTTTTCTTCTGTTTTGGTTTTACCTGTTTCTACAATTTCAGTAATTTTTGTGTATTTGTAAAAACTTCATGGACTTAAAAAGGTAAGCTTTATTAAAGCTATAACATGAGCTTAAAGAACTGACTGAGCCCATATGACTTTTGTTTTATACTTTGGCATTTGAGAAGACTTATTATTCTCTCATTTGGATTGGCTGTTAATGTAAATTTTGTTTTAATTTTGTTTTTTTCATCGACAATTGTACATGTTTCATGGGTGCATAGTGATAGTTCAATACATATAATGTATAGTGATCAGATCAGGATAATTATAACATATTTCGTTATTTTGTAGGAGGGATTTGTGTTGTGAAATGAACCATTTTGAAATATTGCCCCTTCATTTTAGATTGCCCAACACTAGGTGGCAGTAGTATGTAACACTTGTACGTTTTGATGTGCAAGTTTGAGAGTTCAATTGGATTAAAAAAAATTTCATCAGACCATACAATAAGAAGCAAACGTCAAAAAATAGATGACAGCAGTCTGAATTAAACTAAAAAATCTAAAGTTAAAGAAACCACAACAAAAGAGTTCACACTATATGATTGCATGTGTATAAAGTTCATGAATAGATAAAATGAAGCTGTGGAGATAAGATAGTAGTTATTCTTGTGACAGGTATTGACTGAAGGGGGCACGAGGGAATCCTCTGTGGTGCTGCAAGTATTCTGTATCTTGCTCTGGGAAGCAGTTATACAAGTCAAATTTCATTGAGTACACTTAAGATATGTCTGTTATTTACCATATGTATATATGGATGTTACTTTACCATATGGATGTTATTATTCCATTAAAAAACAATTGGTAAAATTGGTAAAGATTGGCAAAATTTTAAAATTTCAACAATACTAACCATTGGTGAGGATTTGGTGCAAGAAGACCTCATATATATTGACTTCACTTGGAAGAGATAATTAGTATAAATGTTTTAAAGATGTATGTGTCATACATCTTAACACTTCTAGGCATAAGAAAAACTCTTATACTGCATGTATGTATCAGGAGACAGAAATACAGTCATGTTCATAGTATCATTGTTCTGAATAGCAGAAAACTAGAAACAACCCAAATGTCCCTGACACACATCAAAAAAATAAATTGTATATTTATACAGTAGTATTACTGGTAAGCTGAGTTCTTTCTCTCACTTTGTATCAGTGGCAAAGAAAGGGCATTCAGGCTACTCTGCCTATGGGGTAGCCCTGCTCTGTCTGTGTAGCAGCCATTTCCCTAGAATTAACTTATTTAAAAAAAAAAAAAAAAGGAGAGAGCGAGAGAGACAGAGAAAGGAGGGAGGGAGGGAGGAAGGAAAGAAGGAAGGAGAAAAGAGAAAAAGCAGCAAGGAAGGCAGGCAGGCAGGAAGGAAGGAAGGAAGTGAGAAAGGGAGGGAAGGAGGGAGGGAGGAAGGGAACAAAGGAAGGAAGGAAAAAGAAAAGAGAAAGAATGGCCAGGTGCAGTGGCTCATACCTGTAATCCCAGCACTTTGGGAGGCCAAGGAGGGTGGATCACCTGAGATCAGGAGTTTGAGACCAGCCTGGACAAAATGGTTAAATTATACATTTTACTAATAATGTAAACATAATACTAATAATGCAAAATAATATAAAAATTAGCCAGGTGTGGTGGTGTGTACCTTTAATCCCAGCAACTTGGGAGGCTGTGGCAGGAGAAGCACCTGAACCCTGGAGGCAGAGGTTGTAGTGAGCTGAGATTGTGCTATTGCACTCTAGTCTGGGTGATAAGTGCAAAACTCTGTTGGAAGGGAGGGAGGGAGGGAGGGAGGGAGGGAAGGAAGGAAGGAAGGAAGGAAGGAAGGAAGGAAGGAAGGAAGGAAGGAAGGAAAGAGAAAAGAAAAAGAAAAGGAAAGAAAGAAAAAGGAAGGAAGGAAAGAGGGAGGGAGGGAAGGAGGGAAGGAAGAAAGGAAGGAGAAAAGAAAAGGAAATAAAAAAAGAAAAAGGAAAGAAGGAAGGAAGGAAGGAAAGATGGAAGGAAGAAAGGTAGACTGGTTTTACTCACTGGCCAGGAATGGAGGATAGGCTCCTTCTCCCTGAATAAGAGAAGGCATAGGGTTTTTAAGGACTGGGTGCAGGGTGGAAGAGGAATGTTAGCATGTGCAGGGTGGCACTGCAGATGCACAGGCTCAATGTATAAACACACATCTTCATACAACATGTATACAAACTGGTGGAGATTTTCTTTTAGAGGTGGGAATTTGAGCATTATAATGATATGTTAATGATTTAAAGGCAACTAGGGGTCCTCAGTTTGCTCTAATTTGCAAGGTCTTATCTTCCTCTTGTATCTCATTAGGGGTCACTATATTCTGGTGCCATTCCAGGCTGTCAGTTTCTTTAAGCAATTATGCCTTTAAATAAAGGGACTAAAGAAAAACAGTAAAAAAAAGAACTTTCCCAGTTATTTCATCAGGGCTGCCCCGGTAACAATAGCATGCAACAATGAAAATGAGTGAACTATAGGTACATATTGTAGTTCAATGCAATAAAATTTTTAAGTCACCAAAATACAGTATGAATCCATAGATTAAAAAAAGTCAAAATAAAAACTATTAGCATGGTGGTTCATACCTATAATGAACCTATAATCCCAGCCCTTTGGGAGGATGAGGTGGGAGGATCACTTAAGCCCAAAGTTCAAGACCAGCCTGAGCAACATAGTGAGATCCTATCTCTACAACAATAAATAAGTTAGCTGGGCATAGTAGTGTGTGCCTGTAGTACCAGTTGTTCTGGAGGCTAAGGCAGGTGATCACCTGGGCGATATAGCAAGACCCTGTCTCAAAAAAACAAAACAAACAAACAAAAAACCTATCATATATCTATATAGAGAGAGATTATTAAAAAGAAAAGGCAAGGATGTGATTAACATAGCAGGATATTGGTTTTCTCTGGTGGGCAGGGAAGAGGGATAATCAAAGAGGGTCACAGAGGGGCTTCAAAAGTATTAGAAATGTTCCCTTTCTTAAATTGTGTGGCAGGTTCAAAAGTTTGGCAAGTATCCTTGACAGAGAAGCCAATGAAGTGATGCTTTTGTCTGTGGAATTAGTACTGCATTCCTTAAGTAAGAAGTCTCCCTAGACAGAACCAAATAGAACAGTGCCAGGGAACTTGAGCTGGCCTCAGATGGTTGGCTGCCTACTGCCATTGCCCTTGAATCATTCTGCATCTTCATCTCTCTTCATGCTGGGTGGGCTATGCAGAGACCTAGGCACCAGGGCTTGGGATTGATGCAGAAAGCCCCTCTCTTAGAAAACGGGTGCCACCCACTGGCATTTACTGAATATTCATGGCGAATGTGATGCCAAGCCATTGTAAAGGATTCCTTATTGGGTCAGGAATACATTAGAGGGATAACAGCTACCCTGCTGAAATCTATTCATTCAACAAATATTTATTGAGCACCTACTATGTACCAGGCACAATTTAAGGTGACACATGGGTTTATAAAAATAACTAAAAACACATTTGAAGGAAATTAACAAAAATGTAGTGGTTTTTTGCTACTACATGAAAAAGGAAAGAAAAAATGTTTTTAAATGACACTTTAGCATATAAACTCTAAAATATAACTATCTGTCTCTCTTTCAAATTCATGCATCATATTTTTAGTTTTCCCAGAGCATTAAAGAACCTATTATTGATGCTAAGCAATATGCTACCAGGTGCTTGGTTTATAAGAGACTTCTACTTTGTTTTGTGGTGTTATTTGTGAATCTAGCCACACTGTGGAGAAACTAGGCGCACTCACGCAGTGCTATTGGAAGCATAAATTGGTCTAATACCTGTGGAGGCAGTTTGGCATTATCTATCCAACAAACAAATACTCATAACCTTTGCCCTAGTAAATCCAAACCTCATAATTTAATCTACAGACATTGTTTGTAATTGTATTGTTTATAATAGAAAAAGTTTGGAATCAGCTTAAATGTTCACCAGTAGGGCACTGTGTTCATCACAGGGCACTGTGAAATAAGTTATGATATATCCTTACAGTGGAGTGGAATGCAGCTATAAAAGAGAAGACAACTCAATATGTGCATATAATATGGAAAAATGACCAAATGCTTATTGCTATAAAAAAACATGGTGCCTAATTACATCTAGTATAGTATGTCATCGTTTGTATAAAATTTATATGTATGTGGGATAACTATATGTGTTTATAGATGCATAAATCTCTGGAAGGGTACACAAGAAATTAAAAACCATTGTCATCTATTTGGTGGAGGAAAATTTGGAGGACGTAGAACAGGGATGGGAAGGAGACTTTTCACTATATAGCTTCTTTTTTTTGTTTGTTTGTTTGTTTTTGAGACAGGGTCTCACTGTCACCCAGACTGGAGTGCAGTGGCACAATCATAGCTAACCGTAGCCTCAGCTTCCCTGGGCTCAATTGATTCCTCTCACCTCAGATTCCTGAGTAGGTGGGACTATAGGCACTGACCACCATGCCCAGCTAATTTTTATATTTTTTTTGTAGGGATAGGGTTTCACCATGTTGCCCAGGCTGGTCTCGAACTCCTGAGACTCAAGCGATCCACCCAGCTCAGCTTCCCACAGTTCTGCGATTATAGGCATGAGCCACCATGTCTGGCCTATAGCTTCTTTTATACACACACATTGAATTATATGAATGCGTTACATACTGCAAAATTAAACAATTTATTTTAAAATTAAATCTAGCTACTCTCTTTACTTCAGGTCAGGTTAATATGTTAGCACTGCTATGTTTGCTATTTGTAGGTTATTCTGCTAATTTGAAAAAAGTCACACTGTTCTTAATGCTTTACTTGTAAACTTTTTTCCTTCCAAGATTTTGGACCTGCAGCAGAAATTAGAACATGCTCATAAAGTCTGTCTCACAGACAGTTGTATTTCAGAGAAGAAGCAGCTAGAGGAAAAGATAACAGAAGCAACAGAAAATGAAGCTAAAATAAAGCAACAATATCAAGAAGAACAACAGAAGAGGTAAGAGGAGCACAGATCTCAGTTTCCTGTGGGTTTAGCCATGACTGAGTTAATCAGCAGCATCAATTTACTCTAACAAAATATCAGAGAGTATTTCTGTTCTCTCCCCACTGAAGTAAACTTGGTTTACTTCACAATTCCTGATGTATTGCACTTATCACACTGTATTCTAATTGTTTATTTTCTTTTTTGTTTGTTTGTTTTATTTTGTTGTTGTTTTGTTTTGTTTTGAGATGGACTCTCATTCTGTCGCCCAGACTGGAGTACAGTGGCACGATCTGAGCTCACCGCAACATCTGCCTCCCGGGTTCAAGCAATTCTCTTGCCTCAGCCTCCTGAGTAGCTGGGATTACAGGCACGCACCACATGACTGGCTAATTTTTTTGTATTTTTTTTAGGAGAGAAGGGGGTTTCACCATGGTGGCCAGGCTGGTCTCGAACTCCTGACCTTGTGATCCACTTGCCTCAGCCTCCCAAACTGCTGGCATTACAGGTGTGAGCCACTGCACCTGGCATCTAATTGTTCATTTTCTAGTTTATCTTTGGCAGAGATTATTTCTTCTGGTTCTAGGACACACCTAATATAACAGTAAATATTCTTGACTGACTTGCCTATGAAACACTCTGGAATTTGCTCTAACATGTAGTCTGACAAACTTTAGATTGCAATGAAGTTGATGTTTTATACAAGGTAACTTCAGAAAGTTTGTGGAAAAATTGAATTGAAAGATAAAATTTAAAAAAATATGGGCTGGGCACGGTGGCTCAAGCCTGTAATCCCAGCACTTTGGGAGGCCGAGGCGGGTGGATCACGGGGGTCAAGAGATCGAGACCATCCTGGTCAACATGGTGAAACCCCGTCTCTACTAAAAATACAAAAAAAATTAGCTGGGCATGGTGGCACGTGCCTGTAATCCCAGCTACTCAGGAGGCTGAGGCAGGAGAACTGCCTGAACCCAGGAGGCGGAGGTTGCGGTGAGCCGAGATCGCTCCATTGCACTCCAGCCTGGGTAACAAGAGCGAAACTCCGTCTCAAAAAAAAAAAAAAAAAAAAAAAGTTGGCCTGATGCGGTGGCTCACACCTGTAATCCCAGCACTTTGGGATGCTGAGGTAGGAGGAAAAAAAAGTTATCCAGGCATGACAGTGCAGTCCTGTAGTCCTAGCTACTCAGGAAGCTGAGGCAAGAGATCACTTGAGCCCAGGAGTTTGAGGCTGCAGTGAGCCGTGATTGCAATACTGCACTCCAGCCTGGGTGGCAGAATGAGACCCTGTCAAAAAAAACCACTTTATTTCTCAACATAAGCTCCATCAAGGTTCAGGCACTTTTGTAAGTGATAATGCAAACCATTTAGTCCATCCCTAAAGAATTGAGTGAGAATCCTGGGAATTTAACAATGTCATTGCAGTCTTTTGCTCAGTATTAAGCAAAGCGAAATGGGTGCCTATTAAATATTTTTTAAGATTGGGAAACAAAAGTAAGTCAGAAGGAGCCAAATCAGGACTGTAAGGTGGATGCCTAATAATTTCCCATCAAAACTCTTGGAAAATTGCTCATTTGATGAGAGGAATGAGCAGGAGCATTGTCATGGTAGAGAAGGACTCTCTGGTGAAGACTTCCTAGACATTTTTAAAAAATAAAGCTTTGGCTGCCTTTCTCAAAACACTCTCATAATAAACATGGTATCATTTGGACTTCTAGAAAGTCAATAAGCAAAATCCTTTGAGCATCACAAAAAACTGTTGGCATGACCTCTGCTCTTGACTCGTCCACTTTTACTGTGATTGGACCACTTCCTCCTTTTAGTAGCCGTTTCTTTAATTGTGCTTTGTCTTCAGTATCATTGGTAAAGCCATGTTTCTTCTCCTGTTACAATTCTTCAAAGAAATCCTTCATCCCACTAGTTTAAAATTCCTATTGAAAGCTTTGCTCCTGTCTGTAGCTAATCTGAATGCAACAGTTTTGGCACCCATCAAGTGGAAAGTTTGCTAAACTTTATCTGTCCAAATTGCGGTAAGTTGAATCAATTGAGATGTCTATGATGTTGGCTATTGTTTCCGCTGCTAATCATCAGTCTTCTTCAATTAGGGCACAAAAAAAGATTAATTTTTTTCCCTGTAAATTGATGTGGATGGTCTGGCACTGTGGGCTTCATCTTCAAAATCATCTCATCTCTTCTTAAAATGACTTATCCATTTGTAAACTGCTGATTTCTTTGGGGTGTTGTCTCTCTAAACTTTTCATTAAAGCATCAATGACTTCCCCATTCTTCCACCTTAATTTCTTCATGTATTTAATGTATTTAATTTTCTTGCTTCAGTTTTAGCAGAATTCATGTTGCTCTGATAGTAGTTCTTTCCAAACTGATATCTTTTCCTTAGTGCCTCAAACTGGATCGTGTTCAGACATGTTATGACAGGTTAGTACAAATTTATTTTGGTGCAAAAAACTTTCAAAATCCACGCATAGTTTTTTCATAATATTCATTTTCCATTAACTTTTTGAAGACCCCTCATATTTATAAGCTGATTTTCTTCAAAACAGTTACAGGTACTTTATAGGTATCTTAACCATCAACAAACTGCTACCAGATAAGAGCTGTCATATATTTGTTTTCTAAAATGATTATGGTTATTATGATGATTCTTACTTAAAGCATCTTCTTGGATGCCCTAAACTTCAGTAACTGATGCTTTGCTTCTTATTCATGTACCACTGAGAGTGGTTCCCATATATTTTTTCTTTATTTTTAATTGATACATAATTATACATATTTGTGAGATACATATAATATTTTTATACATGTATACAATGTATAATGATCAAATCACAGTATTTGGGATAGCCATCACATCAAACATTTATCATTTCTTTGTGTTGGGAACATTTCAAAGCTTCTCTTTTAGTGCTTTTGAAATATACAATAAATTATTTTTAACTTTAGTCATCCTACGGTGCTATTGAACACTAAACCATATTCCTTTTATCCAACTGTATGTGTGTCTCCATTAACCAACCTCTCTTCTTTCCCCTGCTTCCCAGGCTCTGGTAACTGTCATTCTGCTCTCCTTCCATGAGATCAACTTTTTTTATTCCCATATATGAGTGAAAACATGCAATATTTGCTTTCTGTGCTTGGCTTACCTCGCTTAACATAAGAACCTCCAGTTCTATCCATGTTGCTACAAATGACAGGATTTCATTCTTTTTTTATGGCTGAATAGTATTCCATTGCAATCCATGTATATTTTAAGAAGAAATATGGTTTTAGCCACTAAAAATGTGCTGGTATTCACATATACTCTGTAGCTCAGAAACTTACTTTCAGCTCTTGTTGAAAACTCTAGCATAAGGCACTCAATAGATAATAAATACTTATTGAATGAATGAATGAATGTTTGATTAAGTGAATGAATTAATTTATATATAAAAAAACAATGAATTCACTCAGTGAGCTGCTGTGGAAAAATACTTGTCTCAACTGCCACTTCTAGCAGGATGGCAGACTGTCCTCCTTATCTCTAAAGTGGGAATTATAATGCCAGTTCTATATATCTTTTGTGAAGATTTGCTAAGAAAAAATATGTATGCACTATTTAACTAAGTGCAGGAAAGTAAAATATACAGGGAAATTCTCCCACCAAAAGGGGACTCTATAATTTATGTTGTTTCATAATCTGGAAGAAAATGACCCTGATTTAGATAGTTAGATTGTAATCTACTTTTTCACTTAAAATATTATGATCTGTTTATCTTACATTACATTTTTTCTAGAATACTGTTTTAATGATATGTCACAATTTATTTAATAAATGCTTTATTGTTGAACATTTAGATTTTTCCCAGTTTCTTCAGTGACATATATCCTGACACATCATAAGCACTTATATCAGGAAATAGAACCAGTTGAATCTATATTTAAGAACAGCCTTATTACAGGGATTTGGTCTCATGCAGTTGTGGGAGCTGGTTCTGCAGTCTGCATGACTGTCATCTTTGCATCTTATACTAGAGCTTGAGGTCTACAGGGCAAACAATCACAAAGTGAAGACGAATGTAAAGTGGGAGAGCAACAACAAGGTGGAAACCATGAGGATGGACTGGAACCTGTGTCAGTTCTTGCTGCCTCTAACCTTGATAAAGAGTAGGTATCCTACAGGAGAAACTGGCACCCTTCATCAAGGAGCTAAATAGACATCTGGCCCAGGTGATGGGAAAGGTGAAGGAGGATTCAAGGGAAGGTGGAGCAGTTGTAGGCCTTGCTGTTATGTCATGCCAAGGTGAGCAGCAGATATCTAGCAGTGTTCATAAGCTATAAAAGTTCCTGCTCCAACCCTCCACCTGTAAAAACCAAAATGTTTCAATCCTGTTCTCTAAATCTTGTGCAAATGTATCTCCTGTGGCCCACTATAACCAGAAACTTACATGGAAGGAATTCTGGGAAACAAGGCAAGTCAAAATGTTACAAAGCCACTCTATTAAAAATGTACTTTTTGGCTGGGTGAAGTGGCTTATGCCTGTAATCCCAGCACTTTGGGAGGCCAAGGCAGGCAGATCACTTGAGGTCGAGAGTCGAGACCAGCCTGACCAACCTGGAGAAACCCTATCTCTACTAAAAATACAAAATTAGCCGGGCTTGGTGGCACGTGCCTATAATCCCAGCTACTCAGGAGGCTGAGGCAGGAGAATCGCTTGAACCCGGGAGGTGGAGGTTGCAGTGAGCCAAGATCATGCCATTGCACTCCAGCCTGGACAACAAAAGTGAAACTCGGTCTCAAAAAAAAAAAAAAAAAAAAGTCATTTTTAAACTATAGTTAATTTAATTTAATTTAAATTAGGCCTGGCACCAGTGGCTGACGTCTATAATCCCAGCACTTTGGGAGGCCAAGGTAGGCAGATCACTTGAGATCAGGAGTTTGACACTAACCTGGCCAACGTGGTGGAACCTCATCTCTACTAAAAATACAAAAGTTAGCCAAGCATGATGGCAGACACATGTAA